CTCTCTCTGTTTCTCTCTCTCTCTCTCTCTCTCTTTCTCTATTTCCCCTCTCTCTCTGTCCTCTGTCTTTGGTCGGCTTCCTAAGGCGCGAGCTCCGATCCCCAGAATCCCAAAAACATCCAAATGGACACGCAAGGACTGCAATGCCAGGGGTGCGGAAACCGTGTGTTCGCATTTGGATATTTGGAATTCTGGGATGTGAAGTGAGGGGGCCCTGTGCCTTCACAGGGACGTTTGGGATTTAGGTTATTTCTGCGGCTCTGAACCTTCGGGGGCTCCTGGGCGGGATTTTCGCTGGAGAGGAACATCCCAATGCAAACACAATGCGCCCTCACTTCTCATCCCAAACCTCCCAAACACCGAAATGAAAGCAGAAGGTTTGGGCACCCCTGGCGTCGCGCACCCTGCGTTTTGTCGAGAATCGTTTGGAGTGTCTGGGATTCTCTCTTCACCCGACGGGAAAGAAGTTAGGCAGATTCCGGATCCAACGGGTTACAAGTATAATTGTAAAGCGACTGGCATCCAGTTGGGGTGGACGCAGCTCCTTTCAATGTATCTCTAGGTCTGACGTAGAATTCAGCAGATTCTGGTTCCGGCTGGTTCCGATTGGATCCCCATGGCATTCCCTCGAGGAAACGCACATGTTCAGCATATTCGCTCTTTCGTGTCGTAGCAACCTTCACGACAACCCGAGAGGCCCCCAAGAGGGCTTCAAGGCAGCCTAAGGGGGCCCCAACTGCCCCAGGACGGCCCAAAAGAAGCTCACGAGGCCCCCAAAGGCTCCCAAGAGAAACCTACGAAGGCCATGGGAGGCCCCAGGAAGGCCCAATATGGCTCCAAGAAGGCCCGCAGAGGGCCCGAAGTTCCCCAAGAAGGCACCAGCGCGACCCAAGAGGGACCCAAGACGGCCCAAACGGGCTTCAAAAGGACCCACAAGACGGTCCAGAAAGGCGCCCAGGAAGCCTCCAGAGATTCCCAAAGCCCTTCAGATGCCTTCGTGAAGCCCCGAAGCGATTCTTCAACGAAGAGCCTCCGCAAAACACCTGCAGTAGATGGGGAATGGTTCGCAACACCAGGCGAGAGCGAGGATGAACGAGAGGAACGATATGGAACGATAAAGCGTTGCTTTCCAAAGTTTTGCATTGCGCGAACGGGCAACTTGGGCCACAAGCGAGCCCGTGTGGTGGCCACGCGAAGGACCCCGAACGTGCATCCCCGGCAAAGGGACTTGAACGGAAACGGCCACGTTCCAAAGGCCAACGGGGACGACGCCGAGTGCCAACAGATGCGCAGCTTGCAGGACCAAAGTGCGTGGCGCGAAGCGCCAGCGCAGTCTTGTGTATACATATATATATATAGATATACAGACATGTCTATGCCAGAACCACGCACGCGCTTCGAGCGCCTAGGCTCTAGCCGCTAGCCCCAACTGCTCCACGACAACCACCCCTGCCGTCACCGCGTGTGCTACAGTTACCACCGCATTGGCCGATACGGCCACGGCCACGGACACTACCGCTTCCACCGTGTTCTCCTCGTGGCGACGACGACGACGACGACGACGACGACGACGACGGCGACGACGACGACGACGACTAGTAACCGACAACGGCGACGAGGAGAACGACGACCCACAAGGGCGACGAAGGCGACGACCGAGACGGCCGACAGCGATGACGACCGACGACGACGACGACAGCGACCACGACGACGACGATCTATGACGACGGCAAGTACGACGAAGACGACGGCGGCGGCGGCGCGGGCGGAGGCAGGAGGGCATCCGACATCCAGGAGCGCACTAGGTCCGGTGCGGCGCTCATTTGTGGGGCCCCTGCATGGGGCCGCCCAGCGGCAGTGCCCGAGGGCTTCACGGAGAGACCGCCAGTCCCTCCTACTTGGATTCGCCATTGGCCTTCGGATTCCCTAGGCAGTGCTCTCATCCTCCTCCCCCCCTTCTCTTCCTCCTCCTCCTGTTGTTGTAGTTGTAGCTGTAGCTGCAGTTGTAGCTGTAGTTGTAGTTGTAGTAGTTGTTGTTGTTGTTGTTGTTGCTGCTGCTGTTGTTGTTGTCGTCTCCCCCCTCGGACGATGCTTCAGTGCCTCGCGGAATGCTTCTGAGTATCTGTTGGGAGGGCACTGGGGGGCATGTTGCAGATCTGTCTTGACGGCTCTAGGGATCCTTTTGGGTCCCCTGTTTTGTTTGAGCCTCTGGGATGCTCCTGGTTGCCTTTTGTCGGCTTGTAGTGCCTTCTTGGCTGGCTCGGGAGCCCTCCTGGAGACCCTCTTGAGCCGCTATGGGCCAGTCTTGGCGTGTTTGGGGGTCCGCTGGGAGGCCTCTGGGGCAATCTTGAGGCAACATGTGGGGCCTCTTGGCCGGTCGTGGCAAGCAAGGGGCCCGAGAACTGCCTGTGAAAAGCGTATAAAGGAACCAACTGATAAACAATGATGTGTCCCTCTCGGAGCCCTTCGGGGTGGCTTTCTGCGAACTCCTTGAAGGGTCCGGGAGGCCCCTGGGGCTGCCTTGAAGCCATTGGGGGTCGTCCTTGCACGCTCTGGGCCCGTGTCCGAGACCTGTGGGATGATCGTCCGTGGGGCTTCTCCTGGAGTCGTTTGGCCCAGCTTGGGCGCCGCTGGCTTGTGTCTCTCTGAGGGACCTTCGAAGCAGTCTTGGATCTGCATTCGACCATGTCGGTTCGCATTGGCAATTGAGTGGTCCGAAAAAGTGAAACTTTGAAAATCAAACAAAACCTAAAGCAGATCAATGAATTGTGTGTGTGTGTGTCTCGGAGCCCCTATGGGGACCCTCTGGGAGCACCTTGAAGCGTCTGGGAGGCTCCTGGGGCAATCTTGAATCCATCTTGGGCCTGCCGCCTCCTCCCTCCTGCTAGTCCCACCTCCTCCTTCTTAATCCTCTTTCTCCTCCTTCTCCTCCTCCTCCTCCTCCTCCTCCTCCTCCTCCTCCTCCTCCTCCACCTACTTCTCCTCCTCCTCCTACTCCGCCTCCTCCTCCCCCTCCTCCGACCTGCCCCTTTATGGCCTCCTCCTGCCTCCTCCTCCTCCTCCACCTCCTCCTTCTCCTCCTCCTCCACCTCCTCCTCCTCCTCCTCCACTTCTTCCTCCCGCCCCCCCCTCCGTAACTAGCCTCTTCCCGCCTCCTCCTCCTCCTCCTCCACCTTCTCCGCCTCCTGCTCCTCCTGCTTCCAGAGAACGTCCAAACACCCAGGCCCAGGAACCTCGCGGTGGTGACAGACCGCGCGGCGACCTCGAGATCCCAAGAGACCTCTCCGCGCGGCCCGTCACCGCGCGGCCCTGGAACCCCGCGGGCCCCGGCCCCCCGAGACGTCCTCGGCAAACGACCTGGGTCCCAAAACCGCGCGGCGACCTCGAATCCCCAGTGACAGGCGGCGCGCACAACGGGGTAGGGGGAGGGGGGCAGTCTTCTTAGAAGGAGGCTGCTTCGCAGAGGGCGCAGGCCCTGCATCTGCAGACAAGGCCCGCGCCTTCCACGAAGCAGGGGCGCTTCTGAGAATCCTTCCCCCCTCCCCCTGTCACCCCCTCTGCGCGTGGTCGAAGAGATTCGCCACGCGGTGTTGTCACCACACCGTGCGGTGAGTCCGCCTCCGTCTCCCCTGGTGTTATGTCGGGCGTGTCCCCCATACAGGGGGATTTTCGACGAAAAATAAAAATACCCCAAAAATGCTCCAAAAAGGTCCAACTATATTCAAAAAATAATCCCCAGACAATTTTTGATTTATTCCCAACCATCCTGTGGTGTTGGGCCCTCGTTTTGAAGAGACAGCGCCCCGCGTTCCCACCTTCCTCCCGCTGCCCCCCTCCCCTCCCCCTCCTCCCTCCTCCTCCCTCTCCTCCCTCCTCCCTGCGTTTCACCCACCCATTACAGCGCTTCGTGGCTCCATAGGGAGCTCCAGCAAAGGCCCCAGTGGCAGGGTCCGCATGCAGTTCCACCTCCATTTCGGCGCACCTCTCACACGTTTCGTGGCCCCATAGGGTGCTCCACCCAAGGCCCCAGTGGCAGGGTCCGCATGCAGTTCCACCCCCATTTCGGCGCACCCCTCACACGTTTCGTGGCCCCATAGGGTGCTCCACCCAAGGCCCCAGTGGCAGGGTCCGCATGCAGTTCCACCTCCATTTCGGCGCACCCTCACACGTTTCGTGGCCCCATAGGGTGCTCCACCCAAGGCCCCAGTGGCAGGGTCCGCATGCAGTTCCATCCCCATTTCGGCGCACCCCTCACACGTTTCGTGGCCCCATAGGGTGCTCCGCGGAAGGCCCCAGTGGCAGGGTCCGCATGCAGTTCCACCCCATTTCGGCGCACCCCTTCCACATTTCGTGGCCCCATAGGGTGCTCCAACCAAGGCCCCAGTGGCAGGGGCCGCATGCAGTTCCACCCCCATTTCGGCGCACCCCTCACACGTTTCGTGGCCCGATAGGGTGCTCCGCCGAAAGCCCCAGTGGCAGGGTCCGCATGCAGTTCCATCCCCATTTCGGCGCACCCCTCACACGTTTCGTGGCCCCATAGGGTGCTCCGCGGAAGGCCCCAGTGGCAGGGTCCGCATGCAGTTCCACTTCCATTTCGGCACACCCCTCACACGTACCGTGGCTCCATAGGGTGCTCCGCCGAAGGCCCCAGTGGCAGGGTCCGCATGCAGTTCCACCCCCATTTCGGCGCACCCCTCACACATTTCGTGGCCCCATAGGGTGCTCCGTCGAAGGCCCTCGTGACAGGGTCCGCATGCAGTTCCACCCCCATTTCGGCGCACCCCTCACACGTTTCGTGGCCCCATAGGGTGCTCCGCCGAAGGCCCCAGTGGCAGGGTCCGCATGCAGTTCCACTCCCATGTCGGCGCACCTTCACACGTTTCGTGGCCCCATGGTGTGTTCCGCCGATGACCCCAGTGGCAGGGCCCGCATGCAGTTCCACCCCCATTTCGGCGCACCCCTCACACGTTTCGTGGCCCCATAGGGTGCTCCGCCGAAGGCCCTAGTGGCAAGGTCTGCATGCAGTTCCACCTCCATTGCGGCGCAGCTCACACACGTTTCGTGGCCCCATAGGGTGCTCCGCCGAAGGCCCCAGTGGCAGGGTCCGCATGCAGTTCCACCTCCATTTCTGCGCACCCCTCACACGTTTCGTGGCCCCATACGGTGCTCCGCCGGAGGCTCCAGTGGCAGGGTCCACATGCAGGTCCACCTCCATTTCGGCGCACCACTCACACGTTTCGTTACCCTAAAGGGTGCTCCATTCAAGGCCCCCGTGGCAAGTCCGCATGCAGCTCCCCCTCCATGTTGGCGCACCCCTCACACGTTTCGTGGCCCCATGGAGTGTTCCACTTACGGCCCCAGTGGCAGGTTCCGCATGCAGTTCCCCCTCCATTTCGGCGCACCCCTTCCACGTTTCGCGGCCACCAAAGGCCCTGGTGGCAGCGCCCGCACGTGGTTCCACCCTGCATTTCGGCGCACCCCTCACGCGTTTCGTGGCCTCAGATGGGGCTGCACCGACGGCTCCTGTGGCAGCGTCCGCATGGCGTACCCGTGCCAATTTTGGCACACCCGTCACACTCGTCATGGTCCCAGAGGGAAGTTCACCGAGGCCGATACCCACACCTGCGTTACACACAGCTGCACATGGTTGGGCCCTTCGCCGGGATATTTTTTTAACTATTTCCCAACCATCCTGTGGTGTTGGGTCCTCGGTTTGAAGAGACAGCGCCCCGCGTTCCCACCTTCCTCCCGCTGCCCCCTCCTCCCTTCCTCATCCCGCTGCTTCCATTTTGGCGCACCACTCACACGGTTCGCGGTCCCATAGGGAGCTCCACCAAAGGTCTCAGTGGCAGGGTCCGCATGCAGTTCCACCTCCATTTCGGCGCACCCCTCTCACGTTTCGCGGCCCCATAGGGTGCTCCGCCGAAGGCGCCAGTGGCAGGGTCCGCATGCAGTTCCACCTCCATTTCGGCGCACCCCTCACACGTTTCGCGGCCCCATAGGGTGCTCCACCGAAGGTCTCAGTGGCAGGGTCCGAATGCAGTTCCATCTCCAATTCGGCGCACCCCTCACACGTTTCGCGGCCCCATAGGGTGCTCCGCCGAAGGCCCCAGTGGCAGGGTCCACATGCAGTTCCACCTCCATTTCGGCGCACCCCTTACACGTTTCGCGGCCCCATTGGGTGCTCCGCCGAAGGCCCCAGTGGCAGGGTCCGCATGCAGTTCCACCGCACCCCTCACACGTTTCGCGGCCCCATTGGGTGCTCCGCCGAAGGCCCCAGTGGCAGGGTCCGCATGCAGTTCCACCTCCATTTCGGCGCACCCCTCACACGTACCGTGGCTCCATAGGGTGCTCCGCCGAAGGCCCCAGTGGCAGGGTCCGCATGCCATTTCGGCGCACCCCTCACACGTTTCGTGGCCCCATAGGGTGCTCCACCCAAGGCCCCAGTGGCAGGGTCCGCATGCAGTTCCACCCCCATTTCGGCGCACCCCTCACGCGTTTCGTGGCCCCATGGGGTGCTCCACTGAAGGCTTCAGTGGCAGGGTCCGCATGCAGTTCCACCTCCATTTCGGCGCACCCCTCACACGCTTCGTGGCTATAGTCTGGTCCACCGAAGGGCCCAGTGGCAGGGTCCGCATGCAGTTCCACATCCATTTCGGCGCACCCCTCGCACGTTGGGTGGTCCACCGGAGACCCTGGAGGCAGCGCCCGCACGCGGTTGCACCCTGCATTCCGGCGCACCCTTCACACGCTTCGTGGCCTCACGTGGGGCTCCACCGACGGCTCCAGCGGCAGGGTCTGCATGGCGTAACCGTTCCAATACCTCGTAGAGTCGGCATCGATGAGCTAGAGGAATTCCGGCGCGGGGTGCAGCTAGTTGGTCAACCCGGCCCGGGCGGACAATGTGGTAACTTCGGCTCGGTTTTGCTAAGATTTGACAGATTTTTGACCATGAATTTTGAGAAACCAGATTTTTCGCACCTGTGAAAGACTATGAGGGTCTCTGCGTCTTAGTATGACCTCTGTGGGCGCACTTTCACTATCAAAACACTTGGAGGAACCAGCTTCATGTCGACATGAAAAATGCAAAATTGAAGATTTCACGAAAATCTTCTGCGAAGTTCTCTGCTTCGATTCTGAGCACTCTTACGCGCGCAAAGAGCTCTACGAGGTTCCCGGCGGTGACCAGGTTAACGGTTCACCGCCGGCGCCAGTTTTGGCACACCCGTCACCCGCGTCGTCGCCCCAGAGAGGTTCACCGAGGACGATACCCACAATTGCGTTGCTCACAGCTGCACATGGTTGGGTCCTTCGCCAGGATAATTTTGAATATTTGTCAACGTTCGTCGAAAACCCCCCTGTGGGGGGACAGGCCCGATTTAACCCTGGTGCGCTCACCCCCCTCCCCGGCCGGATAGGCCTCGGGGTGCCGGGCGGCAGCTCGCCCGCGCCGGGCGCCTCGCCGAGGGCGGGCGGGGCCCCGGGCCGCGGCGACGCGGCCTGGCGAGGGAGCGGCTCCCCCAGGGAATGAAGGGAGGGACGAGGGGGAGGGATGAAGGGAGGGGCACGAGGGGGGAGGGAGGGGATGAGGACGAGGGAGGGGACGAGGAAGCCGGAGGAGACGAGAGGGGGGAGAAGACGAGGAGGGGAGGGGACGAGGGAGGGCGAGGGCCTTCTGGAGGAACAGAGACGGTCGCTGGAGTGCAGGAAAGAGGTCCTGAAGGAAACGGGTCCCAGACCCCGGGGCTTCCCCCAGGGACAAAAAAGCCTCACCCCGATCTTGTGCATGGCGGCCCGGCAGAAACATGGAAAAACATGCAGGAGGTTCGTCCCGCCAAGTATGAGAAGGCAGCTCCGGGAAGGTCTTCGCAGGATCAGCTAAGGGCTAGTAAAACCGACGAAAGAAAGGACCATCAGGCCAGACCAGGTCGGATTAGGCGGGGGACCAAGCCAAATTCAGTGTGCAGGACTCGGCCGGTCTTCGACCACGGGTTTACCAGCGCCGATGCTGAGCCTGACCTCCCAGGAGCTGCATCTCAGCTTCGAGGCACCGTTTCCCCGTGACGGGGGAAGGCTCGCCCACACAAGAGACCCTCAAAGGGCCCAGGGGTGGAACAAAACTAGCCTGGCGAAGGACCCAACCATGTGCAGTTGTGCGTACCGCAATTGTGAATACCTTCTTCGGTGGGGCCACGAAACGTGTGCGGGGTGTGTCGAAATGGGTGTGGGGGACGCACGTGGACGGTGGCACTGGGGCCTTCGGTGGAGCTCCGTATGGCGCCACGACACGTGTGCGGGGTGTGTCGACATGGGTGTGGAGGACGCATGTGGACGGTGGCACTGGGGCCTTGGTGGAGCACCCTAAGGGGCCAGGAAACGTGTGAGAGGTGTGCCGACATGGGTGTGGGGACGCATGTTGACGGTGGCACTGGGGCCTTCGGTGGAGCTCCGTATGGGGCCACGAAACGTGTGTCGACATGGGTGTGGAGGACGCATGTGGACGGTGGCACTGGGGCCTTCGGTGGAGCACCCTATGGGGCGAAACGTGTGATGGGTATGCCGACATTGGTGTGGGGGACGCATGTGGACGGTGGCATCGGGTTCTTCGGTGGAGCACCCTATTGGGCCACGAAACGTGTGAGGGGTGTGCCGGCATGGGTGCGGGGAACGCATGTGGACGGTGTCGCTGGTGCCTTCGGTGGAGCTCCGTATGGGGCCACGAAACGTGTGAGGGGTGTGCCGACATGGGTGCGGGGGACGCATGTGGACCGTGGCATCGGGGCCTTGGTGGAGCACCCTAAGGGGCCAGGAAACGTGTGAGAGGTGTGCCGACATGGGTGTGGGGACGCATGTTGACGGTGGCACTGGGGCCTTCGGTGGAGCTCCGTATGGGGCCACGAAACGTGTGTCGAAATTGGTGTGGAGGACGCATGTGGACGGTGGCACTGGGGCCTTCGGTGGAGCACCTTATGGGGCGAAACGTGTGATGGGTGTGCCCACATGGGTGTGGGGGACGCCTGTGGACGGTGGCATCGGGGACTTCGGTGGAGTTCCTTATTACCCAGAGGGCCGAGGGAACCGGGAATACATAAGCCTTAGGCATGTTACCGGGGAGTTCGGGATGTTGTCCGGGAGCGCCAGAATCCATCGGAAACAGCATGCATTTCGATCGCGTCGATTTCAGGCAATCCAGGCGAGAATTGTTATTACGGTTGCAGTTTTTATTTCGGATTTGCCCCGCGTGATCAATTTCATCCCACGCGCGGCCGTGATTCGGATCGCACGCGTGATAGCGTGAGATTTAATTTATCGCGTGAGATAGCGTGAGATTTGTTTTTCATGTTTCTCTTCGCACGGCCGCTGCAATCCTCGATGGCAACGCCGCGAGAACAGTGGCGCGCGAGCTTCCTGCGTCGCGGGGAAGGCAACGTGAGGGGGGGGGCAGGCAGGACATATGAATTTCACTTTCGTTTTTCGTTTGCATTTTTTTGTGTGCATTGCACGGGTCCTCTTTCACAAGGTCACCTACCAAGGTCGTGCTGGAGCGTTTGCTTTGCGCACGGTTGCGGCGTTCCCGCGGCGAAGGAGTCGCTGCACGCACACGTGCTCGCCCCAGCGCTGGCTCCGCTACCATGGAGAAGGAGGAGGAGGACGCTGCGCAGCAAAAAAGTAGAGGAGGAGGAGGAGGAGGAGGAGGAGGAGGAAGAGGAGGAGGAGGACGCGGAGAAGGAAGAAGCAGAGAAGGGGGAGCACGAAAATCGCTGGGAAGACGAGGCAGAGGAGGCAGAGGAGGAGGAGGAGGAGGAAAAAGCAGACGAGGAGGAGGAAGAGGGAGAGGAGGAGGAGGAGGAGGAGGAGGAGGAGGAGGAGGAGGAGGAGGAGGAGGAGGAGGAGGAGGAGGAGGAGGAGGAGGAGGAGACAGGAGGCAGGAGGAGACGGAGGAAGAGGAGGAGGAGGAAAAAGCAGACGAGGAGGAGGAGGAAGAGGGGGAGGAGGAGGAGGAGGCAGACGAGGAGGAGGAGGAGGAGGAGACAGGAGGCAGGAGGAGACGGAGGAAGAGGAGGAGGAGAAGGAGGAGGGGGAGGAGGAGGAGGAGGAGAAGGAGACAGGCGACGATCGAGGTGGACGAATCCGACGACGGAGTCGACGAACGTCGCTGCTGTCGCCGACGCCGTCCCTTCCCCTGCCCGCGGCGGCGCGTGCGTCCGTGGTTCGGTCCTGCGCACTCTCTCGCTATCCCGCGCGATCGCGCGTCTCACGCTTTCTCTGTGGGCCCCTGGATCTAGCCCTGGATGCATGGACCTCGCGCTGTCTATATCACGAACGCTATCGCGCCCCGCAGACTCTAATGTTCACCATCGGCGCCTGCCGTATTTTAAAGACCGCCAGCTTGGATGCATCCCACCTTCTCACGCGACCGGTGCACGTTGAACCTCACGCTGTTCAATCGCTCTCACACTATCTCACGCTGAGCAATCGCCGACCAGCCAGCGCCTTCAAGCCGACATGAGATTCTAAAAACTGAATCGAAATTTTCTGGGGCTCGAGGCCGACAGAAGCTCGCCACCCAGGGCGATATATCTCACGCAATCTCATGCACGCTGTCTCACGGTCGCCAGCCAGCTGGTGCTATCTGACGCTATCTCACGCTATCTTACGCGTGCGGTCGCCAACCGGGCAGCGCCTTCAAGCCGACATGTATTTCCAAAACACGATTTGAAATTTTCTGGGGCTCTTTAAGGAGGCCGACAGAAGTTCGCTTCACGAAAGGTGTCTCACGCTATCTCACGCTGCGTGCGGTCGCCAACCGGCCAGCGCCTTCAACCGACGTGTATTTCCAAAACACGATTTGAAATTTTCTGAAATTTTCTGGGGCTCTTTAAGGAGGCCGGCAGAAGTTCGCTTCACGAAAGGTGTCTCACGCTATCTCACGCTATCTCACGTTAACTTTCGCCAGCCAGTCGGCGATATCTCACTGTAGTTGCGGCGGGGTTGCATCTAGCTGGCCTCCTCAATCAGAACTGTTGATCACATGCAATCAATCATCCTCCAGCGGACGCCGACAACGCTACCTCGCGCTGCCTCCAGCAATCTCGACCTCGCGCTATCTCGAGCAATACCTCGCGCTATCTCGCTCCTCCTTCCAACCTCAACCTGTGTCTACATCTCACGGTATGTTCACGCTTCGGGTCGTCCCGCGTCGATGGCATCATTCTTGTCAATTGTCAAGCTCCAGAAGACGAGTCACGAAGCCAATCGTACATTTATCCATGCAGTTGCGTGCCACTGTGGACGCGTGGCATGACCTTGTGAGCTTTAGCATCTGCCCCGCCATGTCCTCATCCCCAAAGCAATGAAAAAATCGGGGGTTGTTGGCGTCGCCCAGGAAATCGAGAAAAATATTGTGCATCTGGTGCATCTTGGGGGCCATCCGCCAGACATTAGGATCATCAGAAGATCGCAACAATTCTGAAAACATGTACAAGAAAGTGTGACCAGCCTCGTCTAATTCACTTTGTTGCTCTGCTGTCAGCCACCGATCGGAGGCCTTCAACACATAGAAGTATGTTGACAGTCCCCAGAGACAGGCGGCCACTTTGTCCGAATCATTATTAGATCCAGGGCCAGACGCAATCGCGAAATCTTGACATATTTCTGCGGGCCAGCTTACACGAACAGGGCTCTGCGCAGCCTGGGTACGAAATTGCACATATTTCTTGTTTGCGTCCTTGCAAATAGCCGCCAACGTAAAACGCCTACAAGAACATGAAACACCATTTGTTTTGCACCCTTCTTTGAACCGAAGGAATAGGTCATGCAGAACAGCAGAACGGTGGGCTGCAGGGGGTAACATATATCCAGCTACAGGGGGGAGTTTCATATATGCCCTGTTTTTTCGTGAGGTACCAAAGGGCATTCCCGATCACAGTCCAGGCAACCCCCAAGTTTACTATGCGCATGCTGTCTCCCCGAACTCGCTCTAGCCCCCACCCCTGTACCATTGTAAGAACAGACCGCTTCTCAGCAAGGGCAACGCATGCTTCGTGGGAGAGAGTCGTTGTTCTCCAGGCTGCCGTTGGACTCCAATCCCAGTAAGCAAAGTGCATCAGAGATTTGCTTGCCCAATCGCGATGGCAGCAGAAATTGCGCCGATATCCCCTGGGGGTCCAATGCCACGCTATCTCACGCGCTCAAAAATCAGGGGGGGAGGGGGGGCGGACGGGGGGAGGATGAGAAAGAAGGAGGGGGGAGAGAGGTTGGAGGAGGGAGGGAGGAAAGGAGAGGGAGCAGGGAGGACGGACGGAGGGAGGAGGGGGAGGGCATCCCCCCCGAATACCAGAGAATCTAGACAGTTTGGCATTGTCCCTTCGAATCATGCGCGCACCCAGGAGCAGTGTTTCGAACGAGACCCCTTCCCTCCGGCTCCTCTTCCACCCTGATCCTCGCCCCCCCCCCTCTCCCCCTCGCCCCCCCCTCCTCCGCCTCCTCCTCCCCCTCCG